GCCCGATAAAAAACCCCATGGCACTAGAAGTACCCACCGCTTTGTGTATACTGACGTTGTGTTTGGTCATATAAGGTACGGATAAAAATCCCCCGCCTGCCCCCACTAAACCAGAAAACAAACCAATAATACTCCCCACTAACACAATGACCGGTTTGGCAGGCATGTGGCTTGTGTGCGATGGGGATGTTTTAGGCTTTAACATTTGCCAACTACTATAAAATACAATTAAAACAAAAATAATCGCTAAAAGTTGTGTTGAAAAGGTTGGCAAAGCAAAAGTCGAAGCAATAAAGCTACCCATGATGAGTCCAGGCGCGAAAACTGCAACAAGTGACCAATCGACCGCTCCTTTTTGGTGATGTGTACGAAAGGATTGGACAGAGGTGAAAACGATGGTGCAAGATGCTGTAGCAATGGCAACAGGCACAGCTTGTGCTAGGGGAATGCCCGCTTTAGGTAATAAAAGCGTTAGGATAGGCACAATGACCAAACCACCACCCACACCAAATAGGCCTGCTAAAAACCCTGAGCCGCAACCGATCGTCGCGAAAATTAAAAATAGACTAATTGACATAACGCTTTAGAGTTTGAGGATTGGCCAGATGATGTTTTTTGAAGGCGATTTGTGTCATTCGATTATCCGATCCATGGTGTATGTGATCTGTGATACCCATTTTCCATCAAAGTGTACCGCGAAATGGCGACGAAGACCTTACTGTAGTAAGGCTATGAGCCATGACAAAGTAGCACTTCAAAGTAGCACTTTGATGGAGAATGGGTATGAAACAACAACAAAGACATGACCATAGTATGGCTAGGGAAGTGTGGCAAATGACCCGTTGGATCGAGTATTGTGAAATAGCGGACTTTGTCGTGGCTACACACTTAGTACCGCAGCCTATCGCCACGTTATGATTTGCGTCGTACTTTGATCAGCGAGGATATTCGTGCCATTTCGCAGGAATTTTTAGAAGAGCAGGGTGGTCACCCACTCCTTACTCAAGTGGGTTGCAAGGGCTCTAAAGACCGAAAAAAGCGAATTGTATGGCTTTGATTAGTCAAAGAACGAATAAAATACTCGGTAAGGGATTTTGCGTTCTGCCCAATAATCCGCTGCATCTCGAAAAACATCTAACAAAGTTTCACGAGCATCTTTGTTAAACTTCTCGGTAGAAGGTAATGCTTCAAGCACTACAATAAAACCCAATTGCGGTCCAGATTTGTTTACTACATCCGTTAGGCAGTCAAAAACCGCATCAAAGTTCTTGCCAAAATGTTTAGAAAACAAAAAACTTTTTCCTATCGTTTCGAGAACTTCTGCTTTACTTTGACAGGAAGCAAGGTTGGCATATAAAAAATGATGCCCCATATTTTGGGCTTCACGTTGCAAATCCTCTGGCTTAAAAGCCCGAATAGACTGAACAACATTGGCTTTGACACGTTTTTGTAAGGGTTGTTCACTCATGATGCGATTTTTGTAGTCATCTATTACAGCTCGACTGCCCACAAAAAAGTCGTAAAGATTATTATCCCAGCTTTTCATTGCGTTTGTCATGGTCACTCCGTCGCTACAATTTTATTAAATGTATTGTAATGATCTTTGGTATAGTAACAGTCAAGTAATTGTCGTTGCGCCTCGTCAGGTCCACCACAGACAATGCGTTTGGCTCCGCGACTCCGTGCACCCTCGCGTGCCACCGTGTACTCACGGTAATAACCTCTTTTTTGCTCGGGAAGGATTTTTTCCCGATTAAAAAAGGTGGTGCCATCTTTTTCAAAAGGATAAGGGCCGTTTGCCGCAATTATCCTTAAAGTGTCTTGCGCCACAGCGGGTAATGTATCCACCGCTATGGTCTCAATTTGCTCGGAAACGGCTTTTTTTGAAGCGGTTTGGTTGAGCCATTCTAAAATACCATTGCGCGCATAGACCGTATTGATTGTACAGCTAAATAGTATACTGGACAATAATGTCAAAGATGTTAATCCTGAACTAAACTTTGTCATGGTCGATCTATGTTGGCTGTTTTTTGCGCGCGCCTTGTCTCTTGGTTGTCTTTTTCGATCAAAAAAATCTTTTAAAAACCGGTTGGTTTGATCTATGTTCATGAAATTTGGACTTGGGTTATTGGAGTAAAGCTAGTTTAGTGGTTGCTTAAGCGTTAAAACCTTTTGAAGCGTTTGATGCGCTTGAAGCGACTAGGCTAATAAAACACCCGATGAATCCCTTGGTCGGGGCGAGAGGATTTGAACCTCCGACCACTTGCACCCCATGCAAGTACGCTACCAGGCTGCGCTACGCCCCGAAAAGACCACCATCTATGCTCAATAACACGAGTTATTTTCAACAAGTTCTTATTATAAATGAGGTGACAAAAATTTACAATCGGCATAATCTGGCGTTTATTGGTAAGCATATTATTTTATTCAATAAAATATTTTTATAAAGTTGTTTTTTGTCAAAGAATGTTAAATGTCCGAAAGGGGTTTTAGTTGACAACAATGGGGGTATTTTTTTATGACAATGATTATATTGAATAATTTGTGTATTAGCTAATAACACCCTTGCCGCATATTTTTACTTTGTCAGGCGTTTTTTTTACCTTTTGCACTTTATGCTCGATGGCATTTTCCGATCAATCAAGTAATACCCATTCTCCATCAAAGTGCCACTTTGTCATGGCTATAAAACGGCGTGCCCCATTACAATATGGGGGTGGCAGATGGGAGACAGGGAAAACATGGTCTTTTAACTGGTTTTGTGTTGGATTCAAGCTAAAATTGCAAATTAATTGGTTTCACGTGAAACATAGTGGCTTGTTATCGACTAAAATAGCATGTGGGCTCTGTACCCTGATCTTTTAAGATACAACCCAGTTATTTCTTCAGTCCTTGACCGACTATTAAGATCTTTGTTGTCACAGTACGTAGCCCTGAGAAAGCGTAAAATTATGAAGTGTTGGGTAAGCCCTGCAAAAAATACTGGCAATGCATATGAATTATTCCGAGAAATTTGATGTCATCGTAGTAGGTGGAGGTCATGCAGGTACCGAGGCGGCCTTAGCGAGCAGTCGCATGGGTTGTCAGACCCTATTGTTGACACACAATATCGAAACCCTTGGTCAAATGTCGTGCAACCCGTCTATTGGGGGCATTGGGAAAGGGCACTTAGTTAAGGAGGTTGATGCCTTGGGTGGCGCAATGGCATTGGCTGCGGATGAGGCTGGAATACAGTTTAGGATACTGAACTCCTCAAAAGGACCGGCGGTGCGTGCGACTCGCGTGCAAGCAGACCGCGCCTTGTACAAACAAGCCATACGCCAACGTCTGGAAAACCAACCCAACCTCAAATTGTTTCAGCAAGCGGTCGATGATTTGTTGATGGAAGGGGAGCGTGTTGTTGGAGTGAAAACTCAGGCGGGCATTAAAATTTGGGCTAGATGTGTTGTGCTAACGGCGGGAACATTTTTAAATGGTAAAATTCATATTGGTTTGTCCCATTATAGTGGCGGACGGGCTGGGGACCCTGCCGCAGCGCAATTAGGGGAAGGGCTCAAGGCTATTCATTTGCCACAAGGCCGCTTAAAAACGGGGACCCCACCGAGAATTGATGGACGGAGCATCGATTTTGATCAGCTGACCGAACAACCGGGTGATTTAGACCCCATTCCCGTGTTTTCTTTTTTGGGTACGGTAGATATGCACCCCAAACAAGTGCCTTGCTGGATTACCCACACCAATGAACAAACACATGAAATTATTCGCGCCGGTTTGGACCGTTCGCCGATGTACACTGGGGTGATTGAGGGTGTGGGTCCGCGCTATTGTCCATCGATAGAGGATAAAATTCATCGTTTTGCCGATAAGTCCTCCCATCAAATATTTTTGGAGCCGGAAGGATTAAGCACTCACGAGTTTTACCCTAACGGAATCTCAACCTCGCTGCCATTTGATGTTCAAGTCCGTATGGTGCATTCCATGAAGGGTTTAGAGAATGCCCATATTTTACGTCCGGGTTACGCAATTGAATATGATTATTTTGATCCTAGGGCTTTAAAATCTTCTCTGGAAAGTAAAGTTGTCCAAAACCTGTTTATGGCTGGACAAATCAATGGGACGACAGGCTACGAAGAGGCCGCCGCGCAAGGATTATTAGCAGGGGCAAATGCCGCATTGCGTGCTAAAGACCAGGAGGCTTGGTCCCCTCTGCGAAGTGAAGCGTATTTGGGGGTTTTAGTCGATGATTTAATTACAAAAGGCGTGAGCGAACCCTATCGGATGTTTACTAGCCGAGCAGAATACCGTTTATCCTTGCGGGAAGACAATGCCGATGGTCGCTTAACAGAGATCGGTCGGGCGATCGGTTTGGTAGATGATTGGCGATGGCAGGCTTACTGCAAAAAAATGGACTATGTTTCACGTGAAACAGCACGTTTAAAATCGATCTGGGTTAATCCTAAAACATTGGATGTCCATGCTGCAAACGAATTGTTAGGTCAAGCGATTGATCGCGAATATCGCCTGTTTGATTTGTTAAAACGCCCGACATGTTCCTATGACGCACTAATGACCGCCATGGATGGGCGATTTGCCACCGAAGATCCCAACCCATTTGAAGAATTTGGCAGTGCGTTAGCACCCGTGCTCGAAAGCCAAAGTAAAGCGTTGGTTGAGACAACGGTGAAGTATGAAGGTTACATAGCCCGCCAAGCCCAAGAGATTGAACGACTAAACTATTATGAAACGTATAAGATACCCGCACAGGTGGATTATCGCGAAATTAGCGGATTATCAAAAGAGGTGCAACAAAAGTTGATACAAAATCAACCTGAAACGATTTCGCAAGCAGCGCGTATTTCAGGGGTTACTCCCGCAGCGATTTCATTGTTGTTGATCCACTTGCGTAAAAAAGGCTTGGGTGGTGAGAAAGTTAAACAAGTGCGTTGAAAGGTTTGAAAATAAGGCTAATATGATTGTGACAGAACAAAAAACATGGCAAGATGTTCGTGAATTATTAAATTCTGAATTGATAAAGTATGCCTCCTATTTTAACGAGCCTGCAGTTTTACAAGAGATTGAAGGCCGTTTGGTGTACTATATTAAGCTGCTTTCAAAGTGGAATCGTGCCTATAGCTTAACCAGCATTACTGATCCACTAGAAATGGTGCGTCATCATTTGTTTGAAACTTTAACTTTGGTGCCAACCATGCATGAGTTGGTTGCCCGTCAAGCTAAAGGGATGTGTGCCGATCTCGGCTCGGGCATGGGGGTGCCAGGTATTCCGCTCGCCATTATGTATCCACAATGGCACTTTGATTTGATCGATAGCGTACAACGCAAAGCGATATTTTTAAACCAAGTTAAAATTGAGTTGGCTTTAAATAACGTCCGGATCATTTCGCAACGGATTGAAACATTGATTCCTAAAGAGCCCTACGATGGCTTTGTGGCACGTGCATTTGCACCTTTAGCAAAAATGGCGCAGCTTATTGACCCTATAGCGCAACCGAACACATTTTTGTTGGCCATGAAAAGCAAAAACTGGCAACATGAGTTATCAGAATTGAATGAACAAGTTCCAGCATGGTCATTGGTCGAACAAAAAATGACGCCCGTTTCCGGAATTCATGCGGATCGGCAGCTTTTATTGTTGGTTAAAAAACTGTCGTAATTTTTAAATATTTTCAAGGTAAAGGCTGATATGACAACACATATATTTGCAGTCGCTAACCAAAAAGGTGGGGTTGGAAAAACGACCACCGCCATTAACTTGGCAGCGGGTTTGGTAAAAATGGGACAACGGGTGTTATTGATTGATTCCGATCCGCAGGGTAATGCTACCATGGGCAGTGGTATCGAAAAAGCCAGCTTAAAATTAAGCCTGTATCAGGTCATCTTAGGTTTGGTTCCCATTAGTGAGGTCATTGTCAAATCCCCCACCGGTGGATACGATATTTTGCCGTGTAATCGGGAATTGGCGGCGGCGGAAACCGAGCTGGTCGAAGAGCAGGGGAGAGAAGGTTTTTTACGCAAAGCGATCGAACCGGTGAAAGATCATTATGATTTTATTCTGATCGATTGTGCGCCTGCATTATCATTGTTGCCCATTAATGGTTTGTCATGTGCCAATGGGGTGATAGTGCCGATGCAATGTGAATATTTTGCCTTAGAAGGTTTATCGGATTTAATCAATACGATAAAACAAGTCCGAACCCATTTTAACCATCACCTAAAAATTGTCGGTTTGTTGCGTGTGATGTTTGATACCCGCACTACCTTACAACAACAAGTATCCGAACAGCTCGAAGCCCATTTTGGGGACAAAGTTTTCCAAACGGTTATTCCGCGTAATGTCCGCTTAGCGGAATCCCCTTCGCACGGCATGCCTTGTATTAATTATGATGCAGCCAGTAAAGGCTCACAAGCGTATTTAGCTTTTGCACAAGAGATGATTCTACGAATTAAAGGGCCAGACTATTTGGCCGAAAAAGAATAGGGGTGCCCATGTCAAAACCCAAAAAAGGATTAGGCCGTGGCTTAGAGGCATTATTGGGGAGCCAAGTTCCCGATGAGCGAAGCCTCGATCATGTGATCCGCTTAAATATCAATATGATTCAAACCAGTCGACACCAACCGCGAGAAGATTTTGATGAGGGCGCACTAGCGGATTTGGCACAAAGTATTACCCAACATGGGGTATTACAACCAATACTGGTGCGGCTTAGCAGCAACGGACAATATGAGTTGATCGCCGGTGAGCGACGGCTACGCGCCACAAAACTCGCCGGATTAACGGAAATACCCGCCTTAGTCAAAGAGGTCAATGAGCTCGACCACGCCGCCATTGCCTTAATAGAAAATATTCAGCGCGAAGACTTAAACCCATTAGAAGAAGCACAAGGCATACAAAGACTTATTGCAGAACACCAGTTTACCCACGAACAAGTGGCCTCGAATTTGGGTCGTTCACGCAGTAGCGTGAGCAATAGCCTGCGCCTACTCACGCTCATCGAGCCAGTACAAAAGTTATTACGCGCTGGTGATTTAGATATGGGGCATGCGCGGGCATTATTAAGTTTGCCTGCCGATGAGCAACTCGTCGTTGCCAACTTAATTGTTACTAAGGGTTTATCGGTGCGAGAGACGGAACAATGGGTTGCTGGGCTTAAAGGCGATCAACCGCATCCAAGCTCCAAAAAGCCACCCAAAAAAACCAACGCCGATATTGAACGTTTACAAAATGAAGTTGCCGAAACACTGGCATTACCCGTCCTGTTTCAAATGAACGCTAAGGGACGTGGTAAAATTACCATTCAGGTCGGGTCGTTAGATGAGGTGGATCGGTTTTTAGAGGCGATAGGGTATCAGCCGCGTTAAGATGATGTGTCACAGCGCTTTACGAAGTCTTGTGGAGGAGCCCATTTTTTTAATTAAAGGAGTTTTGTCATGAGTACGACTATTTCAATGTACCAAGCATCGGTGCCCGCATTAACGCGCGGCTTAATGAATTTGTCGGTGATTTTAAAATTAGCCGAGGAACACGCGACCGCCAAAAGTTACGACCCCAATGTGTTATTAGGCATTCGTTTAGCACCTGATATGTTTGATTTAAAAAGACAAGTGCAAATTGCGAGCGATACCGCTAAAGGATGTGTGGCACGTTTAGCGGGGGTAGAACCCATCAAGTTTGAAGATAACGAAACTTCTTTTGAGCAATTGCAACAACGGATTGCCAAGACCGTCGATTATCTTAAAACATTTACCCCAGCACAAATTGATGGCAGTGAAGACAAAGCCATAGTGCTCTCATCCCCCCGTGGCGCATTTAATTTTACGGGTATGAATTATTTGTTACACTTTGTGCTACCTAATTTTTATTTTCATGTGACGACCACCTATGATATTTTGCGTCAGAGTGGTGTGGTGCTCGGCAAAATGGATTATTTAGGCAAAGTAGCAGAATAACCAATAAATAAACCTAATAAATCATTAACAAAGGATTATGATGAAAAGAACATCGGCTCCAAAACGCCTATTGCTTACATTAGCAGCGGTGGCGAGCTTAAGCAGTTGTGCCAATGGCAATATGGGTGCAGTTGGCAGTATTATTGGTGCCATTGGTGCGCAGATGACCAATGTACCTACCAGCTTGTTACAGGCCAATATCAACCAAGCGTTCCCTGCGAATACCAAAATTATGCAAATGCTTGATGTCAAGGTGGAAAACCCTGTGGTTCGACCTTTGCCACAAACCAATCAGTTGGAAGCGGGTTTAGATTTAAGTGTCGCTAAATCTGTACTGGGAAATGCCTTGGGCGGCTCGTTACGGGTGGCCAGCGGTTTGCGTTTTGAGCCATCTGATGCTTCTGTTCGTTTGGCCAACCCAGCGGTGACACAAATAAGTTTTGCCGCTTTACCGGCGCAGTACAATAATGCCATTAATCAAGTAGGTAACTTCGTAGTCGGACAAGTATTAAATGATTATGCCGTTTATAAGGTTCCTGGAGGTGCCAGTAAAATTGCCAGTGCCCTCATGTCAGTAGCACAAATTCAAGTAACGCCCAGTGGTTTGACACTAGGTTTTGCACCGACTACAGCGGGGGCTACGCTGCCATCTCAGTCAAAATAAGATCCTTTCCATTTCAGGCCAAAGCGTCATGTCTTTGTTGTGATTGACGTCCTAATAACGGGGTGTACGAAATGACCACAAAACATGACGATTTCCACTTAGGGCAAGAAGAGCCAGGGGAAAGATCCAGTAGTGGACAACCGCCATACCCAAGCCACCTCACAACGCAATTAACAAAAAATTTAAATAAATCCCGTTTTCTAAATTATAAATCTTATTTTTCAAATATTTAGGAGCAATCATGAAGTTATTAAGCCAGTCCATTCAAAACCAATCGTTTATCGACCCAAAATTTGCGATGGGGAGGGTTGGGCCTGAGGGTTTTGAACACCCTATTGCGTCACAAAACTGCAACCCACACCTGAAATGGCTGGATTTTCCAGACTCGACACAGTCATTTGTTGTGATTTGTCATGACCCCGACGCTCCAACTGTAGCCGATCAGGTCAATAAAGCCGGTCAGATCGTTCCTTTTGACTTACCACGTGGCAATTTTTATCATTGGGTTTTAGCCAATATCGCCGCAAACATCACCGAAATTGCTGAAGGGGCCGATAGCCAAGGAATGACACCCAAAGGCAAACCAACAGGACCCACCCCTTTAGGTTCCCGCGGCATCAATGATTACACCTCATGGTTTGCCAGTGACCCTGAAATGGCAGGCAACTACGGCGGTTATGATGGTCCTTGGCCGCCATTTAATGATGAGCGCGTTCATCGTTATATTTTTACGGTATACGCCTTAGATATCCCTGTTTTATCTTTACCGACAAATTTTACAGCGAGTGCCGTTCTAGAACAAATGGCTGGACATATTTTAGATGAAGCTCAAATCATGGGGTTTTATGCTATTCATCCACAGGCTCGAACTTAAAGAGCGTCACAAAACATAAGGCAACCTGCCTATTTCGATCAGGCGGATCATTTCCGTTGGACTTCGCCTGCCCCATATGGATGGGCAAGCGGTAATACCCATTCTCCATCAAAGCACTACTTTGTCATGGCTCCTAGCCTTACTACAGTAATGTCTTCGTCGCCATTTCGCGGTGCACTTTGATGGAAAATGCGTATAAGGACCTTCCGATGCAAAACGTTTGCCGTAGAATAAATTAACCAGATTTTTCGTTAAACTCCCAAAGCCAAACAAAAACAATCGGTTGCACTAATGGCTTCCACCTAAAATTTTTTGCTGACCAATGAGCGCCGCATTTAATGGAAAATCTGGGATTAATCCTATTTTCCTTTAGGCAATTCGAGTTTTACTGGCAAGGTCATCGCATCTCCCTTAGCGACATTTCCAAGCTGTTGAAGGTATAACTGGCTTAATAAGCCGGCTTGACCCAAAACTTCTCCTACCATTTGTTCAACATTATCCACATGCCGCTTAAATTGACCATCGATGGTCAATTGACTTAGCCCGTGAACAAAACTCCATGCAAAGGCTGAACTGCGGATCACTTCGGGATCATTTTCAGGGCGGTTTAACATCTTACTGGTGACAAAACGCAAAGTACTAAAAGCTTGTTCCGCTGCCTTTTCCACTTGGGCATTGGGAGAAGTGAAGGCAAAACGTCCAAACATCAAACGAAAAAGGGTCGGGTTTTGAGTGGCAAACTCAATATACTTACGACCACACTCTAAAATACCCACAACAGGGCTAGAAACATCAACAATCGACTCGATTTGTGCGTCTGTCAGGCGTTTAAAGCCCTCAACCGCAAGTGTTGCCATCAAATCTTCTTTATTGGCAAAATGCCGATAAACGGCATTGGCAGATACCCCCACATTTCGTGCTAATTCGCGTAAGCTCAAGTCGGCGTCTTCTCGCTGTTGCAATAAAAGAAAACCTTCCTCAATCAGGGCTGCCCTTAAGTTGCCATGGTGGTAACTTTTCTCCGCTTTGGTCACCGCATGAGGATTTTCATTTTCAAGCGGTTGGGAGCGTTTTTGTAAAGTTTTAGTCGCTTGTTTGTGTTTCATAGGGACAATTCTAAGAATCTAAGATTAGAAACATTTATATATTAGTCAATCTCTATTTTGATTAAATTTAATCGCCAAAGAAGGGCGTTGGGGAGAGGCAAAAATACCCCCTCAAGGAGTCCAATAATCCGAGAGTCCGAGAGTCCGCAGCGCTACCTCCATAGGTGAACTATCATAACACAAAGAACCTTACCCATAAACAGAACTCCGCATATTTCCCCTCCCCTGCTTATACCAATTCTCCATCAAAGTGCACCGCGAAATGGCGACGAAGACATTACTGTCGTAAGGCTAGAAGCCATGACAAACTAGTGCTTTGATCGAGAATTGGTGTTATGTGTCAGATTCGCTGCAACGTAGGGTATTTCAATTCTAATACCCATACGCTTACTCGATAATGACAAATGATTCCAATTCCCGATCAATCGTGTCATTTGTCACTCCTCCTAGCCTTACTATAGTCATGTCTTCGTCGTCGTTTCGCTTACACAATTGATCGGAAAATGGAATTACATGATTGATTAGGAATAAGAATCCACATTGAATTGGTGCTTGGCGAGCCAATATTCAATTTTTTGCTTTAGGATATAAATATCAATGGGCTTGGCGATAAAATCATCCATCCCTGCTTCGTAACAAGCCGCCTCATCTTCAGGGTAAGCATTGGCGGTCACTGCAATAATGGAGGGTTGTTTTAGCTGTGATGGTGGTAAGGCACGGATAAGCCGGCTACATTCAAGCCCACCCATTTCTGGCATACTCATATCCATCAAAACAATCTGTATATCCGCATGAGTGCTAAGATATTGTAAAGCTTCTAGCCCCGTTTTAGCATGAATAATGTTGATGTAAGGAAGTATTTTTTGTAACAATCGGCTTAAGACCAA